TGGGGCCCTCACAGGGGGGTGCACGGCAGTACTGGGGGCTGGGGGCCCTCACAGGGGGGTGCAGGGCAGTGCTGGGGGCCCTCACAGGGGGGTGCATGGCAGTGCTGGGGGCCCTCACAGGGGGGTGCAGGGCAGTGCTGGGGGCTGGGGCCCTCACAGGGGGGTGCAGGGCAGTGCTGGGGGCTGGGGGCACTCACAGTGGGGTGCAGGGCAGTGCTGGGGGCTGGGGGCACTCACAGTGGGGTGCAGGGCAGTGCTGGGGGCTGGGGGCACTCACAGGGGGGGCAGGGCAGTGCTTGGGGCTGGGGCCCTCACAGGGGGTGGCAGGGCAGTGCTGGGGGCTGGGGGCACTCACAGTGGGGTGCAGGGCAGTGCTGGGGGCTGGGGGCACTCACAGGGGGTTGCAGGGCAGTGCTGGGGGCTGGGGCCCTCACAGGGGGGTGCAGGGCCGTGCTGGGGGCTGGGGCCTCACAGGGGGGTGCAAGGCAGTCTGGGGGCTGGCCCGGGGGGTGCAGGGCAGTGCTGGGGGCTGGGGCCCTCACAGGGGGGTGCAGGGCAGTGCTGGGGGCTGGGGCCCTCACAGGGGGTGCAGGGCAGTGCTGGGGGCTGGGGCCCTCACAGGGGGGTGCAGGGCAGTGCTGGGGGCTGGGGCCCTCACAGGGGGGTGCAGGGCAGTGCTGGGGGCTGGGGCCCTCACAGGGGGGTGCAGGGCAGTGCTGGGGGCTGGGGCCCTCACAGTGGGGTGCAGGGCAGTGCTGGGGGCTGGGGGCACTCACAGGGGGTGCAGGGCAGTACTGGGGGCTGGGGACACTCACAGTGGGGTGCAGGGCAGTGCTGGGGGCTGGGGCCCTCACAGGGGGGTGCAGGGCAGTGCTGGGGGCTGGGGCCCTCACAGGGGGGTGCAGGGCAGTGCTGGGGGCTGGGGGCACTCAGGGGGTGTGCAGGGCAGTGCTGCACTGTCACTGGGGTGGGGAGCGGGGTGGCGGAGAGCTGGTTGGGGCCGGTGGAGTTCGGGTCCTCTAGGCCCTCCCGTGGGTCTGTGCGAAGGCCCCCGGCGCTCTGAGAGGAACTGGCTGCAGGTGAAGGTGTCCCTGCAGGAGAGGCAGTGGTCATGTGACCTGATCTCCGGAGCAGGAGCTGGGAAAGCAAAGGTTCTGCCGAGCTCGGACTTCACGGGGGTCGGGAAGGTGGGGAGGGGGGTGGGGTGCAGTGCTGTTTCAGTGGCTGCTTCCCTAGATGAGCAGTGGTGGTGTCTCCTCCAGCGGGAAACCGGCCCGAAGGTGCTCGCCCTGCGTGCTGCAGACAGAGCGGTGTGCAGGGGCCCGGGCCCGCTGGTGCTGCTCACCGCGGAGCAGACCGGCCCTGGCTGCTGCTGGGCCGTGGCCGTGCAGTCCCAGGGGCAGGGGGCGAGAAGCGGTTGCTTTGTGTTGTACTTTGTGATACAATTAACACATGCTCATTACAGGGCTTTTAGATAGAAAGCTACGGAGAAGGGAAACACCAGCCCAGGAACCAACCCAGTGTTAATCTGTTGTTATCGTTTTTAGTCATTTTTGGTGCGTTTTCATACAGCTATATAATTTTATACAAACAATTTAGTGTCTCACCTTGTAAAACGAAAGTGTGAGCTTTGTAGTGGGCCTGAAAGTTTGGGGGGACTTAGGCAAGGGGGCTACCGCCCAGGGCGGGAACACATCCACAGAAGGAGCGCGAGCTGGTTTTATCAGATGCAAGTGTTACTACCCGGCTCCTTCCCTTCCCATCTGCATGAAACATTTTCTCCTTTCCTTTACTTTTAGTCTGTGTGTATCTCTCCTTCTGAGCTGTGTCTCTTGAAGACAACATATACACGAGTCTTGCTTTCTTACCCATTCTGCTACCCTATGCCTTTTAATTAGAACATCCAGGCCATTTACGTTCAAAGTGATTATTGTTAGGTACAAGTTTATTGCCATTTCTTTTATTTTTATTTTAAAAAATATGTATTTTTATTGATTTTAGAGAGGAAGGGAGAGGGGGAGAGAGATAGAAACATGATGAGAGAGAATAGCAGATCTACTATCTCAATGAGAGATAATCATTGATCGGCTACCTCCTGCATGCCCCCTATGGGGGATTGAGCCCACAACCCCAGGCATGTGCCCTTGGCCAGAATAAAATCTGGGACCCTTCAGTCCGAAGGCCACCGCTCTATCCACTGAGCACCCTGGCTAGGGCACCATTTTATTTTTTTAACTATGTTTTTTTCTCCCCCTTTTCTTCTGCTTCTTAAAGCAAGCCCTTTAAATTTTCACATAACAAACTCCTTTAGCTTTTTGTAATCTGGAGATCGCTGTATTTCTCCTTCAATTTTAACTGAAGTAGCCTTGGTTGTAGGTCCTTGTTTTTCATCCTTTAAATATTTCATGCCCCTTTCTTCTGGCCTGAAATGTTTCTGTTGTCAAATCAGCTGACAGGCTGAAACCAGTTTGGCTCAGTGGATAGAGTGTCAGCCTTCGGATTGAAAGGTCCCAGGTTCGATTCTGGTCAAGGTCACGTACCTTGGTTTTGGTCACATGCCCAGTGGTGGATGTGCAGGAGGCAGCTGATCAATGTTTCTCTCTCATTGATGTTTCTAACTCTCTATTCCTCTCCCTTCCTCTCTGTAAAAAATCAATAAAATATATTTTTTAAAAATCAGCTGACAGTCTATGCAAGCTCCCTTGTAAGTAATCGACTGCCTTTCTCTCGCTGCTTTCAAGATTCTCTCTTTGTCTTTAATCTTTGCCATTTTAGTTATGGAGTGTGTTGGTGTGGGCCTCATCTTGTTCTGACTCTCTGTGCTTCCTGGACTTGTATGTCATTGCCTTCACCAGAGTGGGAGTTTTGGGGTCATTATTCCTTCAAATAGGTTCTTGATCCCTTGCTCTTTCTTTCCTCCTTCTGGTGCCTCTATGCTGCGGATATTGTTGTGCTTCACGTCCCAAAGTTCCCTTAAGCTAACCGCATTTTTAAAAAGTCTTTTTCCTCTTTGTGATTGTCTTTTTTCTATCTTGTCTTCCAAGTCACTGATTCAATCCTCTGCTTCATCCAGCCTACTTTTTATTCCTTTCAGTGTATTCTTGTTGTCAGATATGGTATTCTTCTTTCCTGACTGGCTCCTTTTCGTGGTTTCTATGTTCTGTTTTATGCTGTTGTAGTTCTCATTAAGTACCTAGAGGGTCCTTATTACCATTACTTTGATCTCTTATCTCTGATGGATTGCTTGCTGCCATTCATTTAGCTCTTTTTCTGGAGATTCCTCTGTTCTTTCATTTGGGGCCTGTTTCTTTGTCTCCCCATTTAGCTGTCTAGTAGGTGTAGTAGGTGTCCTGTGGGCCCCAGTGGTGCCGTCTCCTTGCCCTCTGGGCTGGATGCACCAGGGATGCTGTGTGGGTTCTGTGGGCCCTCTGGTTGCAGTTGAGTTGATTGCTGTTGGCCTGTTCATGGGACCAACCCTCAGGCTGTCTAACTGTGGCGCCGAACCCCCAACCATGGTATGTGAGCTGTTGTACAGATGTTGACCAAAAAATAAAAATAATAATAACATAAAAAGGAATAAAAAGAATATGAAAGGAAAGAATGAAAAGGATAAGAAAAAAATCATAAGAAAAGAAAAAAACAATAAGAAAAATAAAATAAAGAAATAGAAAGGAGAAAGGAAAAGAAAGAAGTGGCACGCACCTCCTCAGAGTTTGTTAGTGCTGCTGCCATCTGCGGTTTGTGGAGTTTGCTGGATCCCGCTCCAGGGCTGCCTGAAGCTGGACGCTTGGTGTGCTGCTTTGGCCATTTTGGGAAGGGCCGTGGTGCAGGCCAGTGTCAGACGCTGCCGTGTGCCTGGTGCACAGAATGGCTGCCTCTGCTGGGCCTGGCTGCAGTGCTGGGCCCTGGGGCAGCTCGGCACGAGCACGAGGCACCCTGCCACCTGCCTCTGCCTTCCTTGTTTTAGGCTCATTCGCTGAGACAGCCTCCGGCGGTGGGGCTTCCCGAGGGGAGGTGCGTTCGCCTTCAGGGGAGGTGGTGGGATGACCCCACCCCAGAACCACGTGGCTGAGTCCGTCCGGATTTTGCCCGGGCCTCGCAGGGCGGATCCTCTACGCTCAGCACACAGCACACGGGCTTCCGAGCCCCGAGGGCGGGCCTCCCGGGCGGGGAGGGTGTTTCTGTGGGATCTCCTGCAATGGAGAAGCACCGGTCTGGTTCACAAGTGGGTATAAAGCCTCACCTCAAACCCAGTCACTGACACCCAGTCTGCCCAGACTTCTGCTCCGTGCTCCGTGCTGCGGACTCCGTGCAGGGTGGGGTGGGAGGGACTCCTGGGGCGGGGTAATCCTTTCCCCCAGGCCATGCTCTCAGAGGGGATTGCCCCGCCCAGAAGGTGCTGCTGCGGTCTCCGAGAATGACTGGCAGCTGTTTCCCCCCCTCCCCCACATAGAACCACAAACCCCACACTCTGCTCAGGGACTGCAGCCAGCACCACCCTCCCTCCTAAAGTTTGCTCCTGAAGGGGGAACGGGTGTCTCCAGCAGACTCGCCTCCCCTGGGTGAACAGGAACCCTGCTGCTTTCCTAGCTGGATGCTATGTGGGCGCCTCTTCCCAGCTCTGGTGCTCCAGGCTGGTAGCCTCTGGGCTGAGAGCGCGGCTGGGTTAGACCTCACACTTCTGAGGGGAAAGCCCCATAGCTAAGATCTCTCTCCAGCACCTCAGCTGCCGCCGGCGTGGGGCAGTCCCTCTTACATCTCCACCCTTCCTACAGTCTCAGTGTACCTTCTGCTGCAAATCCTTGGTTCCTAGTATAAGACTCCTCTTCAGGTAGTTCCCAGTTGGTTACTCAGGGTGACTGTTCCCCAATTTACTTGTACTTCCAGTTTGGTTTGGCGAGGAGGCGAGTTCAAGATTCACCTACTCTACTGCCATCTTGAAAGTATCTGGAATAGTAACATTTCTAATTTTTGTTTTTCTTTCATTCCTGTTTCTCTAGGAGAATATGAAAGTGTTACTCAGGCTTGTTTGTTTCATAGCTCTACTGATTTCTTCTCTGGAAGCTGGTAAGTTAAGCATTTCCTTGTGTTATTATATGCTAAGAGAATCTATTATTTAGAATACATGAAGTACCTTATCTAACAGAATCATTTTTCTTTTCTGTTGAATCCCAATACATAGAGCCTCCTGGTCACAGAACTGTACTGATGAGTATTCTTTTCAGCATCTTCTCATTCTCTTGTTTACATATTTGGAAACAGGCCCAGTGAGTTAAGAGCCCAAGGCCATATCTCTAGTTTCAGAGCAAGAGTTAAAATCCAGCTCTCCAGTGTCTGATCCAGGCCTCTTTCCCACTGTATTCTGGTCAAAGAGTATGATACAGGAACTCCTGGCTTTCATTAGGAAGAGGCGTTAAATGTAGTCTTAATGAATCCTCAGCTGAAAGCCATCAAGAGACAGTTCTTTCTTTTCTCCGTTTATTCATTTTCACTCTGTCCCTCTTCCTCCTTTTACTACAAATGTATTAGCCCCTACCCTGTGCCAGGCGCTAGGTGCTGAGTGAATGAGCAAGGTACAGAAGTGAATGATCAAGACAGAAAATCTGACTGCAGGAGGTCTACATTCCAGTGGGTTTAGAAAATAGACCTTTATTATGTTATTGGTGATAAATGTAGAGATAAACAGCAGGAAAGGGAGATAAAGTTTTGGGCCTGGCCAATGTGGTTCAGTGGTTGAGCATCGAGCTGTGAACCAGAAGGTCATGATTCAGTTCCCAGTCAGGTTGCAGGCTCAATCCCCAGTGGGGGCGTGCAGGAGGCAGCTGATCAGTGATTCTCTCTCATCATTGATGTTTCTATCTCCCTCTTCCTTTCCCTTCCTTTGGAAATCAATAAAAATGTATTAAAAAATGAAGTTTTAGGAATGTGTGGGTGGCAGAAAGTTAAGTTTTTTTGATAGTGTGACCAGAAACACTTACTGAGAAGTTGATTTTTGAGTCACACCTCACACTGGGGATGGGGAAACAGTGCAGGCGGATGTGCTGAGACCCCAAGGAACTGCATGCTCCGGGCACTCAGTACCATCGTGGTGGGAGCCAAGGGAGAAATGAGGGCAGTATAAGGGATGAGGTCATTTGGTTAATAATATATGTCACTGCAGATATGCTAACTAAGATGATGTTGGAAGTTGTTTATTTGATTTAGCAACTTAAAAGTCATAGGAGACATTGATCAGATCAATTTTGGTGGATGGGTGGGTCAAACCCCAGATAAATAGAATTAAGTGTATATCTAGCTGAGACCTTACTTTATTTTATTCTTTTTGTTACTATTACTAGAGGCCTGGTGCACGAAATTCGTGCATGGGAGTGGGGGGTGACCCTCAGCCCAGCCTGCACCCTCTCCAATCTGGGACCCCTCAGGGGATGTGTAACTGCCCATTTAGGCCTGATCCCATCAGATATCCAACTAGCAGTAGGATATCTCTCACAATCCAGGACTGCTGGCTCCCAACTACTCACCTGCCTACCTTCCTGATTGCCCCTAACCACTTCTGCCTGCCAGCCTGATCACACTCTAACCACTCACCTGCCAGCCTGTTTGACCCTAACTGCCCTCCTCTGCAGGCCTGGCCACTTCTAACTGCCCTCCCCTGGTGATTGGGGCCTCCACTCACACCTGCTTTGGCCTGACACTGCCCACTCACCAGCCCTGCCTCCTGCCACTGCCACCAGTCACTCCCTCTGTGGGGTGATAAGTGGGACAATTGGGGAGCCCTGCTCTCATCTGCTTTGGCTGTCCTGGCACTGCCCACTCGCCAGCCCCCTTCCTCACCCCCTCCCCCCCCACTGGTCGCTTCCCTCTGTGTGGCAACCAGTGGGGTAATCTGGGGGCCTTTCTCACACCTGCCTTGGCTGGCCTAGTGCCACCCACTTGCCAGCCCTGCCCCCCCACCACTGCTGGTCGGGGCCTATGGGCTGGGGGAAACTCCTGCATTGAGCGTCTGTCCCCTTGTTGTCACTGCACATCATAGTGACTGGTCATTTGGCCAGTCATTGGCCATTTGGTTGATTGACATATTAGGGTTTTATAGAGATAAATATAAATATAGATTTCTGTTGATTTTGCTACTGCTATTTTCGTTATCTAAATATTTAGGAGTCCTCACTCTGCACAGTTCTATGCTAAGTACCTAGCCCCTTTCATTTCAATTCTGTGTTTCTTTTAGTAGCTTGAGTTAATAACTGACATATAATAAACCACTAATGTTTAAAGAATACAATTTGGTGTGTTGACATACATTTCCACTCTTGAAATCATCACAATGAAGATAATGAATATATACTCACTGCTTTCTGAAGTTTCCTGTTGATCTGTGGTTCGCATTTATTATATGTTGCAATGTTGGCTGGTGAGTTGAGTTCTGACTTAGTCTTTGATTTTTTTCAAGACCTTCTTTGTATTCTTTCTTAAGTAATTTTACTATCTTTTGCTCTCACTTGATTTCTTCACATTGAGAACTTCTTTGGTTTCTTCCTCCTTGTCCTGGGAGCTCAGCAGGTTGGCCTGTGGCACCCCTTTGTTCTCCGCGGGCTCCTGTGCTGCTTCAGCCTATTGCCGGGGTCGGCGCCACCCAGGAAGCAGCCCCCGGCCTTGGCTCCATTGCCCGCGCTCAGCGGTCGAGGGCTCAGGGGCACACCCCCCCCCCCCCCCCGCCCCGGGGGCCCTGTCGCCCTGCTCCTTGCTGGTGCCCCGCTGGCCGGTGTCCAGCAGGGGCTCCTGCTCCTTGTCGCGTTCCTCCAGTCTGGAGCTTTTTTTTCTCCTTCCCCCGCTAGGGGAGTCTAGGATCAGAGTCAACAGACTGTCCTCTGCGCGCAGTGTGCGCGACTCTGGGGATTCCGCTTTTCGCCGCTCCCCTGGGATCTGCCTCACAGCCGCGTCTCCCCCTGCCTGAGCCTGGGTCCCCAGGGTCTTGCCTAGGACTGGGGTTCAGAGCAGTTGAAGCTGGGGCCCAACATGGCCGGGGCTCCTGTTTCCTTCCCTCCAGGGCAATCCCGCATCAGAGTCAACATTCCTTCCCTTGCAAGCAATGGGGCTCAGCCTTTCGCCGCTCTCCCAGGACTCCACCTCACAGCCCCGTCTCCCTCTGCTTGAGCTTGGGTCCCCAGGGATTGGCCTAGAACTGGGATTCAGAGCAGTCCGGACTGAGGCTCAGCGCCGCCAGAGGCTTTGTTTCTTATGGCTAGGGTAATCCAGCATCAGAGTCAACATTCAGTCCTCTGCGCGCAATGTGCGCGAGACTCTGGGGGCCCTGCTTTTCGCTGCTCCCCTGGGATTCTGCCTCACAGCCCCGTCTCCCCCTGCCGGAGCCTGGGTCCCCAGGGTCTGGCCCATAACTGGGGCTCAGCGCTGCCGGTTCGGGGGTTCAGCCCAGGGTGGGGGTTTTATTTCCTTCCTGCTAGGGAACGCCAGGCAGCACCCAGTCCTCTCCTCCTCTCCGGCTGTGACCTCTCTGCGCACGTGTGTGCGGGCGAGCAGCATGTCTCCATACCTTAGGCTTTTTTTCATCTCCTCTGATTTTCCTTCTGGTTTTCTCTTTCCTTCTTGTTGTAGAATTTTCAGTCAGTTGACTACCTGTAGCTCTGGGCGATGTCCACTCTACATTTTAGTTGTATTCCATTGAAATTGTTGTGTGCTGCTGCGGTTATATGTCTACCAGAGCAGCCATCTTGGATCCTCCTCCTAGATCTTTTTCTTGAGTTCTTTAAAGCAGGACTATCATTTTTCATTTCTTCTTGGTTCTTCTTTGTTTCCTCTTGGTTCTTACTCATATTTGGATAGGTTGCTTTTCTCTATTTTCTTTACTGCTGTTTCTGGTGATGCCTGCTTTTTTTTTTTTTTTTTTTTTTTTTTTTTTTTTTTTTTTATGCGGGCTGTGTCTTTGTCTCCCCATGGTCTCTCTTCTCTGGATGTCTGGTTATGTATGTCTCTCTCTCCTGCATTGATTTAAAGGCAAAAATACAACACAACCAGGTACAAGACACAGGTAATGAACAGAAATGTATTGACGATATTAATAACATACAATAAAGGTGACCACCAGAGAAAGACAAATTAAGGGATAGGAGAATAAGAAAAAGAGGAAAAAGAAAGAGAAAAAAAATGGAGTGACAAAATGAAATTGGGAAAAGAAAAAAAAAAGTAAGAGGGAAAAGAAAGAAACTAAGAAAGAAAAGGGGAACAAACTATACATATGGGGAGAAAAATCCAATAGAACTACTAGTTCCAGCAAATTCCAGCAACAAGTATCTGGAGATTAATAAAAACTACAACTAATATCAAGCAACACAAGGGAAAATAGAAGCAAAAAAGCAAAAAAAGAAGCATACAAAGAATAAGCAAAACAATCTCACAAAAAAAGCATAAAAATTCAATATAATCAACATTCAAGCAAACGACAACAAAAGGACACAGAGAAAAACAATTTTTTGGATAGTTAAGACAGCGAAGAGAGAATTGTGTATGGACTTGGAGCAGTGGGTTGGAAATTAGATTTATAAGTAGGGTGAAATTTTTAACAGGGGGTAAACAGAAAGAATAGGGAAAATCTAAATCAGGAAAGGGATAAGATAAACAGGACACCAAAATGAGAAAGGTTAGGAGGAGAGTGATGTCATAAAGGTAGAGTTGATATAGAGTAAAATGATGCTAAAGGAAAGATAAAAATAGAATGTAGAATACTAATACCAAAATAAAATAAAGAGAAAATAAAATGACACTTAAAAAAAAGTAAAACAGTAGTAGCAATAATACTGATTGAAAATAAAAATTAATAATTAAAAATGTAAAAATCAAGTGAGTTAAAAAGAAAAAAAATGGTTTATTAGGTAAAAGATGCAAAAACTGAAAATAAAAATATGAAACAAGCTATAAAAAAATGTGCAGTAGTAAATGTCATTCACTTTCTCTATTCTGTTTGGCACATCTGTTTTTCTGTCCTGACAGTATTGCAGTTCCCTGCGTTCCGCTGCTCCTCAGTGTTGTAAGCTAGTCTTGATTTTTAAGCA